GCAGCGCGTGTGGCCCCTAAAGGGGGCTAAAAAAAAAAAAAAGCTAAAGCTTTCAGGCTTGCAGCTGTACCGGGGTTGGTGCCTGTAGTGGGACAAGGTGATATGAAGAGCAGTCCTAACGGGGACGGGACTGGAACCTGCCAATTCATTCCCCAGATGCTCTTCAATACCCATTGGATAGAAATACTATTTGGTTACCCAGTGCCCTGGGCAAGATGTTTGATGTTAGAAGCCTGAGATTTCTTTATATAAAATATATATATGTGCGTGTGTGTGTGTGTATACATATATGTGTGTCTATATATATAAAGTGGCTTTGCTGCAGCTTTTATATAGACATTTTTCATTTCTAAATGACCTGATCCTTCCATTCTGAGTTGTGGCTTTTCTAATCTTAGTGTCAGAAAAAATGATGCTGCCTTCCTGCAATCTTTTTGTTTGTTTCCATAGCTGTCCTATATAAATTGCTTAATTTTTTTGTGCATAAGCAAATCAAAGGTTAACATTGAATAGCTGACCTGAGCTGCGAGCAAATAAAGCAGTAGCAACGGCAGGGTGGTTTCTGAGGTTGTAGGAATAGGAACCTAAATCAATAGCTTTTAGCAGACTCATAAATGTTTCATTTGTATTCCTCGCTTCGGCGTTATAGAGCTTTGACAAGGGAATCCATATAACCTCTTAAATTAGCGTTGTCCCTGTACTGAGTGTAGATGTTGGAAAGCATTTCCCTCAGATGCACTTCAAAGCGCTGCTCTGTAATGGCATTTTCCTTCCTGTTTTGGAGCCTTGATTCTGCACAGCCTCCGATACCAAGCGAAACGAGTTTGACAGCCTCAACCCTAAGCTGCAGGGATTTTGACGAGGAGCGTGCACATATCCAACCCAAATACCTGTGGCAATGCTCCTGCCCAGCTCGGAGGCCAAGAAGGAGTTGTGGCTGCTTGGGCAAGCTATCGTTTCTGGACAGGGAAGCGTGGAGGGACCTTTTCCCTGGACTGAGACACAGCCCTGAGGAATGAGTGAGGCCTCGGGAAGACCAGCCTCAATAATTCATGGCAGCGGGTGGGGAAGGAGGGACATGCCCACAACTGTTTGTCGAATTTGGACTCTTTTGGAGGTGCTGGAGAAGCGAGGAGTAGGAAGCACGTGAGCAGAGCGTGAGTCAGGCAGCTTATCTGGCCATCCGCCTTTGCTTGAGGTCATCTACCCGTGGAGCGTGGGAGGGTTGTGCGGCTCCAAGGTCTCTGCCGGGTCAAGGCTGTGACCCGCCGGCAGCCTGGGAGCGCTACGTCCGCTCTCTCAGCATTTCGCGGTTTCCCCTGGGACCCCAAGTGCTGGGCTGGGGTGACAGTGGTGAGCTCAGCCTTGCTGGGGAGGACAGGGCTGATCCGTAGACCTTGTGCTTGCAGGGGAGAAAGATCCTTGAGAAACCTCGGGCTGCAAAGAGCAAGTTAAAAAAACAACCAGCCAACAACAACAAAAAGAACCCAACCAAAAACCCTTCCCCAGCTATATCTGTGTGGCTAATTACTGATTTCTAAACAATTAGGTGGCTAGAGTGGGATGCCGTGGGATTTCAGGCTCCGTGTCTCCAGCCTGCAAAGCAAAACTGCAGTGTTTTTGGGAAGAGGGCATAGAAAAGGCATAGAAAAATAGTGTTGGGCGAGAGAGAAGATGTAGCAGATCCGGATAGTGTTTCTCAAGCAACCCCTTTTTCCTGTGAATTAGGCCCACCCTCCCCAGCTTGTAGCCATTTCTCATGGCTGCCTTGTGTTGGCAGGGAAGCTGAGCTGAAGGCGGCAGCCCCTGATGCTCCTGTACATCCGAACAGGGTCCATTTAGTGGGCTGCCTGCCTGCAAACTCGGCTTTTAGCCAGGGAGAGTCTCTTCTACTGAAAAATTAATGTCATCTAGTATAGTGCCCGCCATGGCTTTGCTGTGTCTGCTGTTACAGGGGCCCGTAGCGGAGGCACAGCAGGCTGACCCCATTTTTCTTTTTTTTCAGGCTCATTTTTCAAACCTCAGGACAGTCGTGCTACCAACTTCAGTACTGACTTTCTGCTGTAAGAGAGTACGGTATGCATCTCTGTCTGTCTGCTTTAGTTACTTGGGGGACAAAATAGAGCTGGCTAAAATATTTTTGAGCAAATGACTTGGATTTTATCATCTAAGTACTGTTAATTTGATTGGTCCAAAGGGCTTTTCTTCCACAGGCAAGGATAGGTATCGGGTAACACTTAAATGAAATAGTAGCTAATAAAAGCCTTGTGTTTGCTTCTGCCTGTCTGTTAAAAAGCATAATTTAGGTGTCTCTTTTGTCTTATCTTCTGATGTGAATCTGTCCTGCAAAATGTTTAAGTCACATGAAGTGTCTGGTGAGTTTTATCAACAAAAACTACAATGAAAGGGTTTGGTAAAATTTGTTCAAAACTTTTGGCTTGTGCTGGTCACTAAATATTCCATAAATAAAACCAGTCGCAATTGTCTTTCCTAAACCTGCAATAATCTTCATGAAAATCAGAAGCCAAACTTGATTTCTGCTGAGCCAAGAACAGACCGGTGCCCTTTATCCTGGATAGACTGCTGTCTTAATGCTGTTTTCTAAGGAAAAATAACTCTTCTGTGGTTTGCCAATACCCTCTAGGGGCTGTTGAGACAATTTACCATCAAGTTTGGGGTTTGATTGCTTCACTTTGTTGCTCCGTTGCTGAAACCATAGTGCAGAATTTCCCCCCTTACCCCCCTTCGCCTTCCCACCCTTCTCAGCCTGAGTTAAATTTTTGGAGGATGTGAGGGTGCATTGGCAGCAGGAGGCACGGGCTCTGCAAGCCAGGGTGCAGGAGCACCCACAGAGCAGGAGCACTGGGTTGTCACCTGGTGTTTCACATTTAAGGTCCATTCAAGTGTACCAGAGTTGGATCACATGTATTCTCTGTGCCGTACATCAGTAAGAACAAGAGAATAATGGGTTTTCTGTTGTTTTCTCTGCAGGCAAGAGCTCTGTCATCATGTCAGTCAGCGTCCACGAGAACCGTAAATCCCGGACTAGCACCGGCTCCATGAACATCTTACTTTTTCACAAAGCTTCCCACCCTGACTGCGTCTTGTCCCATCTGAACACCCTGCGGAAGCACTGCATGTTCACCGATGTCACCCTTTGGGCAGGAAACAGGTCGTTCCCGTGTCATCGGGCAGTGCTGGCTGCCTCCAGCAGATACTTCGAAGCCATGTTTAGCAACGGCCTCCGGGAGAGCCTGGATGATGAGGTGAACTTCCATGACAGCCTCCACCCAGAGGTGCTGGAGCTGTTGTTGGACTTTGCTTATTCCTCTCGGATCATCATCAACGAGGAGAACGCGGAGTCCCTCCTGGAGGCTGGAGACATGCTGCAGTTCCACGATGTCCGAGATGCGGCGGCTGAGTTCTTGGAGAAGAACCTCTACCCTTCCAACTGCTTGGGCATGATGCTGCTCTCGGATGCTCATCAGTGCCGGCGGCTCTATGAGCTCTCCTGGAGGATGTGCCTGGTCAACTTTGAGACTGTTCACAAGAGTGAGGACTTCAACAACCTTTCCAAGGACACTCTGCTGGACCTCATCTCCAGTGATGAGCTGGAAATTGAGGATGAAGAAAAGGTCTTTAAGGCTGTCATCCAGTGGGTGAAATACGATCTGGATGAGCGGAAGGCTTATCTCCCAGAACTTCTGAGGAATGTTCGTCTGGCCTTGCTTCCTTCTGAATGCCTCAAGGAAGCCTTGGCTTGTGAGGATTTGATCATGGTAGATGAAAGGAACAAGCTTGTCTTGGATGAAGCTATTCAGTGCAAGAAGAAGATCCTCCAGAATGATGGGGTGGTCACCAGTCCCTGTGCCAGGCCTCGCAAAGCTGGGCACACCTTGCTGATCCTGGGAGGACAGACCTTCATGTGTGATAAGATCTACCAAGTGGATCACAAAGCAAAGGAAATTATCCCCAAAGCAGACCTGCCGAGTCCACGGAAGGAATTTAGTGCCTGTGCCATCGGCTGCAAAGTATATATCACTGGAGGCAGGGGCTCAGAGAACGGGGTCTCAAAAGACGTATGGGTGTATGATACTGTTCATGAGGAATGGTCAAAAGCTGCCCCAATGTTAATAGCTCGGTTTGGGCATGGCTCGGCTGAATTGGAAAACTGCCTGTATGTTGTTGGTGGACACACTGCAGTAGCTGGAGTCTTTCCTGCATCTCCTTCTGTTTCCTTGAAGCAAGTAGAGAAGTACGATCCCATATCCAACAAATGGATGATGGTGGCTCCTTTGAGAGATGGAGTGAGCAACGCTGCGGTGGTGAGTGCCAGGCTCAAGCTTTTTGTCTTTGGTGGGACCAGCATTCACCGAGACATGGTGTCCAAAGTCCAGTGCTACGATCCAGCTGAGAATCGGTGGATGATCAAAGCCGAATGCCCACAGCCCTGGCGCTACACGGCAGCCGCTGTCCTGGGCAGCCAGATTTTCATCATGGGGGGAGACACAGAGTTCACAGCAGCATCCGCCTACCGCTTTGACTGCGAAACGGACCAGTGGACGCGCATTGGGGACATGACGGCCAAGCGCATGTCATGCCATGCTTTGGCCTCGGGGAATAAACTCTACGTGGTGGGGGGTTACTTTGGGACTCAGAGGTGCAAAACACTGGACTGCTACGACCCTACGTCAGACACGTGGAACTGTATCACAACGGTGCCTTACTCGCTCATCCCCACAGCTTTTGTCAGCACCTGGAAGCACTTGCCATCATGATGAGGGTCAGGTCAATAAGGTAAGGGTCTCCTCCTTTTAAACTGAAACTTGCTTTCTCACCTCAGTTGCGCCTCCACGCACCACGCCAAAGCCACGGGTTCCAGGATGCTCCCGTTTTGTGAGAAGGGAGCATTTAAAGGTGGGATGCAGGGCCAGAAAGGAGTAATCAGCTCTGCCATGTTGTAAAGTCTTAGCTAGCTCCCAGGTTTCTCTTGTTTCCAGATGATCCTCGCAGTATCTTAAGAGATATATCTACATAGGTGGTTGCAAGCAGGCCACAGCTCCTCCGCTCCAAGCTAGCTGGATGTGCCAGTGTCACCCTTCTGTGTGTGGGTGGGTAGGGGAGGGCAGATGTGTCCTCGCCTGCTCTCACAGCTATCACCATAGGATACATCTTGTCTCCATGCGGTTGAGGGGCTTACGGTTTCTAAAAGCACTTGCATGTGAGTCCTGGGAGATACTAGGGCAACAAGTGCTTTGGAAAAAGTCTCAGTAGTTTGATATTTTTGCTGGGTATCTATCTGGGGGATTTATTCGGAGCTGATGAATATGTAGGCAAGTGACTTTGGGATGCCGGCAAATCCTGGGTCTCTGTTTTATGCTCTGTAGTTACATTTCAGTGGGTAGCAGGAGCAGAAGCTTGGAAGCCACAGTGCATTTGATGGTCCTGGTATTTATTTAACATCCAAACTGTTGCTTATAAAATCAGAACTTCTGAAACCTCTGTGTGATACCTGAGTGGGAGGGAAGGGCTTTTGTAACCAGAAGAAGAATGTGTTTATTAGTGTTTTGGGGGGTGTGAAAATAAGAAAGTTGGTGGAAACTCGTGATGTCCTCTCTCATTCTGGTGCTCCGGTTCTCACTGGGGGGGGGGGGGGGGGGGGGGGGGGGGGGGTATTTATTTAACATCCAAACTGTTGCTTATAAAATCAGAACTTCTGAAACTTCTGTGTGATACCTGAGTGGGAGGGAAGGGCTTTTGTAACCAGAAGAAGAATGTGTTTATCAGTGTTTTGGGGGGTGTGAAAATAAGAAAGTTGGTGGAAACTCGTGATGTCCTCTCTCATTCTGGTGCTCCGGTTCTCACTTGCTCAGGGAAGGTGCTATTGCAATGCCATTGGGACAGGGCGGTTGGTTCCTCCTCTCCCCTCCTCAGTGGGATGTTGGTTGCCATTCTGGTTACCAGTTTCGCTCCACAGAGCTTTTCACATCTTCACCAATCTGTGCTGAGATGCAGCTGGCCAGGCAAAGGCCAAAAACTCTTCTCACCTTGCATTGTGAAAGCAGATATTGATACGGGCAACACTTGGGTAGCATCGTCTTCCCAGGAGGTCCGTAACATCTCTGCTAGCTCAGTCTGCAGGTTTCACAGTGCCGGCAACACACACAACCCTGCTTTGGTGGTTGGAGACTACCTCCCAGATAGCTGAAGGAGCAGGGAAACCCTCGTGTGTGGGGACGGGATTGACAAGCTTCACTTACGGTTTTATTTGGAAGGTGGGGACTGTGAGGAGGGAAGTTCTTCCATAGACTCATCAAAATTCACTTCACTTAATACAGGGAAGAAAGAATGGTGCCCAAACCCTGTAACGCCCTCTCACTTCCCTGCTTCCCGCTTGCTGTGGTTGGTGCGCCTGGGAATCGCCCAACGGGTGAAATTACTGGCATCTCCCAGTGATCATCTCTTTTGATGCCAGCTGGGAACCAAGGAGGAGCTCCTGGCACCTCTGCCGGGCATTTGCCCGACGTGACCACCTGCTTTTCTCAGGTGGGGAAAAAAAAAGCATCCAGAGCATTATGCTGGCCTTTGATTTGCGAAACACCTGGTTTTACCATGGGTTGGACCACAGTGAGGGCAGGGCAAGAGTGGAAGGGGTTAAAATGAGATCTCTGAGAGCTTTCCCAGCATTGGAAGATAATGGCCTTTCCAAATTCTCCTCCTCAGGCGTTGCCTAGCATCTGTCACAGTGGCTCAGTGATCTAATTAACTATTAAATATTGCAGCAAAGAGTGTGAGGACTCCATCATTTTCAACTCAGGTCAATGGGGCCTCCCTTTAAGAGCCATCCTAGAGCTGAAAATTAATTTTCTCTGGTAGCAGATGTGTCTGAATATTAAAGCTCAACACCAGCCACACTGCTGGGAATAGAAATAGGGAATATTTTGAGGTGGGAGTTGATTCTTCAGCGACCGAATAAAAAGCAGCCTCTGAAGACACAGGGACGTTATTTTCCTCTCCTGCCTTTTTCCCCCATACTGTATTTGGGTTGTTCAGACCTAATAAACAACTTTGTGAGGGTTTTATAGATTTTTTTTTTTTTCCCCCTGTAATCTGGAGTCTGGCACAAGCACAAGAAAACTAGGAACTGTAATATGCCAATCTGCAAATAAAATTGGTGAAAAGTCACTGTGTGAGGGTTTTATGTGCTTTTTTGGCTTCGCTTCCACTCTTCAGTTAAAAGAAGTATTTAAAATATACATGAGTTCTTGCCAGACAGACTGTCTCTTCACTTCATTTTTCTAGAGATTTTTTAAAAAAAAAAAAAAAACCCTAAGTTATTGTTATGGCCTCAGCCACTATGACAGCTCCTTAAATAAAGCCCCAAGACTAATGAGCGAAGGCCAGACCCCAATGCATAGCCCACGCTGCACCTTGGCTGTCCTGGCTGCACCTGTGCCAAAACTGGGCTCAGGAGCTGGGGTAACTGGCTATAGGGTCCTGTGACGACTCCGTCGTCCTACAGCAGGTCTAGATGAGGGATCTTCTGGCTTGCAGTTCCCACCATGTGAGGTCTCTGCTGCAACACCCATTTTGGTCCCTACGGGATCCGTTTTCAAGAAGGGGCACCCAGAAGGCAGGCTGGCCAGCACGTGCCCAGGTGCTGGTGTGCTTTGGGAATGCTAATCCTATGGGAACCCCCCTCAGCTGGAGAAGGCTCAGGAGGGACCATCTAAGGTGCTCTCAGAGCAAGCTAGGCTGGTGGGGAAAAGCCTGGGCAATCACACAGTAGGAAACAGTACTTTGTACTCATGAAAAAAAACAACCTTCTCACCTATAAACTGGTGAGGTTGCATTAATACCAGCCCTGAAACCCAAATAATACATCCTTGAAAAATGTTGATCATAAAACGCCAAGCCTGCTTTTCATTTAAAGCTTAAAACTGATCAGCTAGAAACGTTTCCTTGAGGGCATGGCCTTCACCCTTCCCAGTTGGAGCCGGGGCACCTGTTGGCAGAGGTCCCAGTGCCCAAGCCAAGGATGCCGTGTGACATTAATTTAGTGCTTATTGCCAGCAGTTAATTCCAGGGGTCAAGTATGATTAGCAATATGAAACATGAAAGCCCAGTTTCCTCCCACCTGTGGTGGTGGGAACCACGAGGAGGCAAATCGTTACAAAATGGAAATAAAATACTGAGCGCTCTGCTAATAAAGACTCTCTGTGTTTACAAACACGAGTAAAGCCCAGCCAGGAGCTTGGGAGACGATGCCGGGTGGTCTGTTGCAGTCCTATGCAGTGACAATTGATGGGGACAACTCTACACCTCCCAGGAGGTGACTTCAGGTGGTACCAGGAACCGGTTCTCCAAGCTGCCTGTCTCCAAATTAAAAGTGGCTTCGCCAAGCGATCTGTCCTGTGCGACGCTCTCATTTTCACAGGGCAGAGTCACAGATGGGCTTGGGCCAGAGAGGGGAGCCTTCAGCTGGGGGTTGCGAAGGTCACTGGGGAGGAGGGAGCCATTCACAGGTTGCACGTTCCAGCTGGGGAAGATGAGACGGTGCGGGAAGTCGCTGCGTCCCTCTGTGCTGGCTCCTGAGCTGCAAACGCTCCCCTGGGGTGGAGATGTCAGAGCTCCATCTCAAAACAAACAGGGACGTAGCAGCTAGGAGCCCCGCGTTCCCCTCCCAGTGCCTTTCAGCTCCTGCAGGACCCTCCTCACGGTCTGGGCTGTAGGGAGCGGAGGCTGGTGGCCAGGCACAGCTCAGGCCCTTATTCCTGGGGCTCATCCAAAAGCTCAGAGCCTATTTTGTGGCTCCCACTGGAGCCCTTTGGTGGGTTTGGCTCCTGCGAAAGCTGCGGGGAGGCACCAGCAGCTGGTGCCTGCCATTGGGTGGGCGCTGAGCGGCCGAGGCTGCAGGTTTTTGAGGCTGCTCTGGCACCTAAAAGCTGAACTTCGGCCCCAAAGCTCCTGCAAGGATTTAGGCAGCATGCCAGGCCCAGAACTGTATTCTGATAACCACGGTTACACTAAACTTCAGATCTGTTCAGTGACTTTTCCTGATTATTTAATTACAGCTTAGATAACAAGCCTTTTGCAAAGATGATTTTGCTGCTGCCTGGTTTGGCTTTCCTTCCGTGTGGAACAGCGCTTGGTCAGCTTTTACCTTGCAAGAAGCTGCAGGGTTTTGTTGCCGTGTATCGCTCCCAGCTCCGTCCACATAGCCCTGCTCGCAGCCGGACATCTTCCTATGCAAAAGTCCTGGGTGCCTGCAAACAGCAGCCTAAAAAATCCTCAGGATAATCTCCCAGCTCCTAAATGCCGCAGCTCACCTGCGTGCTGCTGGGTTTGTTGCTTGCAACCTGTTACAGCCTCGCTGGTATTGCCGGAACAAAGTCACAGCCAGTTTCTCTCGGTGGCTCCTAGGGAAACCCATTTGTATGTGCATAATAGCGAGGCTGGATAAACAGGGACTGCAGTTTTTTTGCCGCTGCTGCTCTTTCCAAGCGGCTGGTTGTCTCTGAAGCCAGTTTATCAGGCAGCGTTGGAAGGGAGTGGCTGGCCTGGGGAGGAAAGTCGATGAAAATCAGGCTGGGCAGATGGAAATGTGCAGTCTGAGCTCGGCCCCAGACTGCATTAATCAACCCCTTGGAAACGTCAGTCACATGGGTGGTTTTGGAGGAACCGGCAGAAAAAGAGAAAAAGGGTCTTTTTGTTTTGTCTGTTCCAGTTCTTGGGCCCTCCTCCCTGCCCTAAAAAAAAGCTAAAACTCCATTTCCCTCAACTTTTCATTCCCTTGCAACATCCACAGAAGTTTCCTGCCCGGCTCTGCCCGGCTCCCCGGTCCTCTGAGCCCTCCCCAACTGAACGCCCACTTTCCCTTCTCCTGCAAAAGCAAAGCACACCCCAAACCCCAAATAGATCAGCTGCTTTCCACCTCCACCCACCTCGGGGATTCAGGGTGTGGGGGTTACCCCAATAGCTGGCAATGTGCAGTCCCTTTTCTGGTGCTCCCCTGCGCGGGCTGAGCACGCCTGTTAATGAGCTTTCTCCTTTCCTCCCCAGGTGCCAGCGTCACATCCATGTCCCCTGTCTTGCTGCTGGAGCCGATACAGTGACTGAGTCCCCTCCCGTCCTCCCGCACAGGACTCCGAGGAGCCTTTCGCATCCCTTCCCGGCACCAGGAGTGGGAGGCACAGCCGGCCCCACCGCCGGCATCACGCCGGGGGGGGCACCAAGGGCCACCCAGCCCCGCCACCGGCCGCCGTGCGGGGACGGCGAGAACCCAGGATCACTGGCTGCCGGGCTGGGGCTGGGTACGGGAGGGGATGTGGGGACAGCTCGTGAGTACCGGTGGCCGGACAGGGCTGGGGAGGTGGAGGATGTGCACCAGGCTGCATCCCTCGGCAAGCACGGCGTGGGGAGACATTAGGTGCTTTTTGTTACTCAGTTGGGGGGATTAAGAGATTTTTTTTGTTTGTTTTAAAAGGCAGTGAAGTTGCCATTGGCAATGGCTGCTGTTTGGGTGACTTGGAAGTGTTTTTTAAAGGGAAAAGGGGCTGGGGCAGCCCAGCAGAGAGCCCCTGGCTTTTTGTTACTCAGTTGGGGGGATTAAGAGATTTTTTTTGTTTTTTGTTTTAGGCAGTGAAGTTGCCATTGGCAATGGCTGCTGTTTGGGTGACTTGGAAGTGTTTTTTAAAGGGAAAAGGGGCTGGGGCAGCCCAGCAGAGAGCACCTGGCTCTCCCCATCTTCCGGCTGCTCTGCGGAGGTGATGGCTGCCGAAACATTAAAGTGTGGGAGCTCGGGTTGGCTGCCAGCAGCACCGGGTACCGGGGCGAAACAGGGCAGGTGCCTTTTGTTTGGCGCTTTGGGCCTTCCCCCCCCCTCCTTTCCTTGCCGCAGCCGGTTGTGATTTGGTCAGAGGCCAGGCAGCTCCCCGCGCGCAGCTGCTGGTAAGAGCGCGGCGGCTCTGTTAGCGTGCCAAGGCACCAGCACCGCTGCCGAGATATTCACCAGATAAAACCCACTGCGTGCTCAGAGCCGGTCTTCTCAGTTTCCCTGCCGCGCTCGCCGAGCAGCGCGTGGGTGAGGGCGTAATTAGCAAACGAGCAGAAACAGAGGTGCAGCGGGGCAAAGCTCGCACCTCTAGCGGGGCCTCAGAGTGAAAATGAGTGAACTAAGCGAGCGTCGCAGGGCTGGCAGGGCGGGCTGGGGAGGGATCCCCTCCTTGCTGCTGTGCCGCGCATCCCGGCTTCACCTTGGAGAGGTGCGAGCATTTTTGGCTGCACTTTGCCCGCCAGCGGTTGGACTGTAGCTGCCCCAGGTTATCCACGCACGCTGGCTGCCAACTGTATTTGGGTTTATCCATGCAAGAGCTGTCAGCCCGAGTCGTTCCTCATGCACGCTGTGGAGGAAGGCACGTGGATTTTGGCTGTCGATACAGGGATGCAGCTCCTGACCGGCCTCTTCCAGGGCTGGCCACCGCCGAAGGCTGGTCCTGCACCGCCCCAGCATCCCGCTTCCCTCCGCAGCAGATCTGGTCCTGCAGATGCTCCGGGCTTGCTTTTCGCCCCTGGATTAGGTTAAGCTGTAGCCTGGCCAGCTGAATGATGCAATGCCATGAAAAGCCTTGACATGGCTTCAAACAGCAAAGGTCTCTTTGGAGCAGTGAGTACCCGTTGCTGCCGGGAAGAACACACTTTGTGCACAGCCAGTCTGCGATGCTCTGAATGCCATTTATTTACATTTTCTAGTCTTCTTTTTTTTTTTTCCTTCAGCTGCTTGTGAACTTTAATAAAAATGATGATCTGGGAAACTGTTTGTGTGTTTTTCACAGGAGTCTTCATTCTTAAGCAAGTTGGATTTAGGTCTAATAACAGGGCCGAGGAATAATAACAGGGTTGGCTCTCGGTGGGGCGGTTCACAAACAACCTCCTAAGCAACCAGCCCGGCTGTAATTATTATTGCTTCAGCGCTTGGGAAACTGAGGCACAATGTCAAGTGTCTTGTCCAAGGCTAGTGGTAGATCTGGGAATAAAGTCCAGGGCTTCTCATGTCCTGAGGACATCACGTGTTTCCTTCTCCACGGCTGCTCTCACTCAACTTGACCGTGCCATGATTTTAGGAGAACTTGCAAGTCTGCAATGCTAATACCTGCCAAATCGGTTGAGAGGGCCCAACCCAGACCCAGCCGTACTCCTGCAGGGAAAGCCAGTAATTTCTAAGGAAGACGAGAGGAATTTATACTTCTATTTTCCTTATTTGCCTTCGCTTGGCGGCTGCAGCTCCCAAGAAAGGGGCCCATTGACAGGCGAGATGGGCTTTCCAGCTGGGGCTCCTGTTCATGCTTCTCCTCCGTGTGCATCTCTCCCCATCCCAGAGGAGCCGGGGACTGATCCAGCCCTGCTCTGGGAAGGCTCTGGGCTCTTCCCCCTGCTACGAGACCAGCAGCTCCAGCTTTGCTCAGGGCTGGGAGCGCGAGAGCATCGCTCAGAGCAGCTAATAGGCACCAGGCAAAACGCGACAACCTTGCAAATTCATATTTGCCTCCTCTGACTAGCAGGGGCTGTTGGGCTTGGGAAGCAAAACTTCCTACGGGTGTTATGCACGGTCTCAAAGGGATTTGGAGCCTGAATTTCTGAGCTGTAAAGGAGACTGGGAACATGTCTCCTTGCCCGCGGGAGCTGGGTGGCCAGCAGCGTTAGCTGATGGGAGCTGGGCAGATATGCGTGTAAGGCTCCATAGAAAAAGCTCATTAAAGAGCCCTTTGGGAAACCAATTCAGGGTAGAAATTACTGTTTGATGAGCAGGAGAGGGAAAAAGAGAGGGAGTGTGTGAATTAAATCCCTTTCAGTTTTGTTGATTCAGGTTTTATATGGGACTCTGGGACTTTAAATACCAGCTCGGGAGGCTTTGCGACTGGCTAGCTTTGATATGAGCTGTGCAAAGACCTGCTCTTTTGTATTTGTTCTGGAGCTTGCCTGAAAGACAATTCAAAAGCAATCAGCAGCTGCTGTGACAGCAGCAACCTGTTGCTATGGAATTAAATGTGATGCAAAATACAAAGGTTTCTTGGTTAGCAGCAACAAAGTAAAAGGGGAGTAGGAGATGGAAACGGATGTTAACAGTCAGAATAAAGCTACAGCCAGAGCGGGGCTGGGTTTTAACTGGGAGGTACAAGGGAAGAAATGTAAACGTGATTTGTTTCGCTTTTTTAAAAGAGCTTTTTCGCCATCTCAGCAGGTCAAGCTCGGCTTTGTCTGGGAGTGAGCGCTTGGGAAAGAGTCTTGTCTGGTGGCGTTACAGGGGTTGTATGTTCCCAGGCTCCTGGGAAACGTGCCCACATGCTATAGCCGACCCGCGCTGCAGGGTGTCAGGAGCTCAGACATCTTCCCCACGAGGTGGCCAGGAGCCTGGCACGGAGATCCCCCCAGAGGTGCAGGGTCTTGCGAGGATCCGGCCCTTGCTCAGCCCCAGGCATGGCAGCAAACTGCCGCTGGCAGACCCAGGCCACCAAAGGGTGGCTTGTCCCACACCTACCTCCTGCCTTGTTTTGCAGGGGCCCGGTCCCACAGGAGGGCTTGGACAGGACACAAGTCCTTTCAGCCCACCCTCTGGCCCAGTCTGGAGCTTGCCCATAGGCTCTCTCCACCTCGGTTCCCCAGCTCTGTAACGGGGTGCTCCCCACCCTCCAAAAAGCATTTGGGAGGTGAGGGCAGGGAGATGCTCGGAGACGGGACTGGGCAGGCAGCTAGCGGGACCAGACCTCTCCCAGGCCCAGGTCTCGGGACCTCCATCCCCAGGGACTGACCATGTTGAACCTCCTCAGATGCAAAAGGCTGATACTCCTATGGCTTATTTAAATGAAACTCATAGTGCCTTGTGGATTCTTAAACATGCATTTTCCCAGCCTGACCCCAGCTGCCCTTGAAATAATACTATTGTGCGGTGAAGCCCTACAGGGAATTATCATCTGAGCTCGCTCTCCCTTTGTCACTAGAGTCAATTAAAAGCAGTGTAAGCTGGTGATTTAATACCTCTGGTGTCTGAGGAAGCCCCACATCCATCCAGAGGCTGGCTCTGGCATTTTAGACACAATTGGAGTGGAGGAGTGTTTTTTCCAGCCATCCAACATGCTTTCAAATTCATCCATGACACAGAGCACTGAAGCCTCGTGTCCTTGGCTTGTCATCTTCTCCTGCATGTTAATTAATGCCCCAGCATTGCACATCCTCCCCGTGGTATGTCCCATGTCAAATTGTTTTCCTGTTCCCCGTGCACCTTCTCCCTTGGGATAAACCCAACACGGTTCAGACTCTGTAGAGGGGCCAGGCTCACAAACTGCCACCCCAGGAAACGCTGTTCATGAATGAAGTTAAGCTTCCAAGAGCAGGAGAAACCATTGCCCCCAGCTCCCCACAACCAACTGGAAATATAAACTGGGCCCAATCCCTCTTGCTCCAGTGCAGAGCAGGAGCCCAGTGCCCTACGGGTACAGGCAGCAGCGCTGAGGGGGGGGACCAAGATGGGAGCCTGCAGCAGGGACTCCTGGTGGGAGTGAATAGCAGCGGCTGAGCTCATTTTTTTCTTCCTCCTTACAATCTCCCTTTTCTTTCCATTTCACCACCTCCTTATTTAACATCATCGGCTGTTGTGCAAAACCATCAACCCTGTTTGCAGCAGTGTGACCTACTTTACCGCGTTGTCCTGACTTCCTCACTGAAATCGCAAGCTCAGAGCCCACCCAAGCCATTCAGCGGTTCTCAGCTGAATAACAAATCCAATTAGGTGGAAGAAAGCCTGGCTTTCATGCTGTCAGCGCCTGGACATCTCACTTCCCTCTCCCCAGCGCACGCTGCACCACTGATGGCCGTGTCTCACAGACACCGTGCACAAGGACCCCTCTGTATTTGTGTGCCCCCCTCTAAATGAAGATGGCGGAAGGGTTCGAGAGGACCGATCCTGGCTATCCAAGGTGTCCTTTCGTTCCTCCTGACATCCCTCAGGGACCATGTTGCTGAGGAATCAAATAATTTGTGTTTTTTCAGTTCTGGCTCTCTTGGGAAGCCCTCCCTTCCCAGCTGAGGCTGGAGGAATGGTCCAGAGCCATGCCAGGATGGCACAACCTGTGCTCGTTAAAAAGCCACTGGCACTTCAGCCAGGACGTGATTTAATCACCGATAGAAAGTCCCATCTCT